AAAGCTTAGACATTTCCTTGATGGATATTTGAAGGCAGGTGTTTTCGGATATAGATATGAATATATCTCTTGTCAAAGATGAGTTTGTGTGCTAATTGTCGTATATGAATTTACAGGTCGCCAAGAGTTGAATGTGTGTAGCCTACACGTTGCGCTTAGATATGAATGTATTTGTTGTGAGAGATGGATATACAGGTTGCCAAGAGATGAATGTGGGTACAGGTTGTGACTTATGAATATACTGGCTGTCAGAGATAAATATTGCAATTTCTGAGGTACGAATACATCGGTTGTCAGAGATGAATATGTGTACAATTGGTGAAGTGTGGCTATACAGATTGTCAGAAATGATTATGTGACCAAGTTGTGTCGAAAAGAAGTTAAGCATGTTTTTCTTTAAGATCATGTTTTGACTACAAGAAATCACAAAAAGGACAGTTTCCTTCAATGTTCTAATAATGGATATGGCACAACACACAAATCAACTGTTTAGGCTTACAAGGATGATTACCCATTGACACCCATCCCGTAGACACCCGGCGAAATGGTAACTACATATGGTGCTTCAGAACACTGCTTGTGGAGAATGGTTATCGTCGACTGAGCCTCATTAGTGCCGTGTCTCCACGATCTGACGTCACCCATCACGCCCAGAACGTGGGCGATGCATCGCCCCATTGGTTTCCCTGTATTTTCAAACCAAACGACTGGCAACTGTGGCAAATGTGGCATTAATTTTTCAACCAATTGCTTTAAAGGACATGCTGAGAGTTATGCATACCAATAATTTGCCATCTTTGGTCATAGCGGCAGAAAAATGATTGAACACTGAAACCCGTGCAGATTAAATTCCGACATAAACACTGCACTTACGAAAATTCGTTGGTTTGCTTTAAGGGTGCTTAACAGCTTTTCAGGTGTAATAGTAATAGCATATTTGTTACGCGCATATATCCATGCTAAACCATGCTCAAAGCGCACAAGAGAAATATGAGATTAATGGTAAAGAGCTACAGTTCAGAGGCTATCTTGAACATGTGTGTTTTTAGATTGGATCTAAAAGAATTAAAGTCACAACAGTCTCTGAGGCTCTGCGGGAGACTGTTCCAGGCTATAGATCCTGCATGGACAAAGGACCTGTTTCCATACATCACTGTCTTTACTTTGGTAACAACAAGCAAGATCTTATCCTGTGAACGGAGAGATCGGGAAGGTGTGTACACGGTTAGAAGATCGGATAGATAAGAAGGTGCAGTTCCAGTACTGAGGCAGCGGAAAACAAGGCATAAGAGGTGTACATATATACATGTATAGTGTTGAGGTGTTGAGTTTTCCATTATAATGTTTTTTGTCTACACGGAATAAATGCAGAGAACAAAGAGGCATCTCCCGACACTTTCATGCACGTGTCAATGTGCATGAAAATATCTTTGAGAAAAATTGCTTCACAGTTATGAGGAATCGCTAGCTGGGGCTTTGCCTATAATGTATAATATTTCGCTATTAAAGTGTCATTGACAATGTGTAGCTGAATGAAAATGCTGTCAGTGGACGTCAAGAGAGTGTTGCAGTTGCACGTCACCTCGACGTTCATCAGAGCACCATCGGTCGTTTTGGGAACAGATATCAACACACCAGTGCTACGCAAGATGGATCACGAAACAGTAGATTACCGCTGCAAAACAGGATTGTTACATCCGGGTACTTCATTTGTGGTATTTTACAGTCACAGCACTGTGCAACTGCAAGTAGAGTGCTGGTTTGAGAATCAATTTAATGTTATCATTTACGGAAAGATAGAGAGGGGTAAGGGTTCATATCCTCCACGCAGAGATTTAGCCTCGTGTGACTTCAGGGCCAAAATTGTAAGGATTCACATGGTTCCGATCATTGACCGCCGGACGGAGGTGTTCTAGCAAGCTAATGTCCAACCTCACACAGCCTATGCCACTATTTAATATCCGCAGAATGAGAACGCAACAGCGGTCCCATGACCTTCCAAATAACCCGACCTCAACCCAATCGACCATTTGAGTAATGACCTCAACTGGCGTGTTCGTGAACGCCAACCGGCGCCCCATCAACTGTCGCAACAGGTCAGAATTCCACAAGATCGAACTCAAAGACATATTTAGACTAACGCTTAGTCCCTGAATATATACTTCCCATCAAAAGTTTAGACTCACTAGTGTAAATATAGCCACTTACTTCAGGCAACTGTACTGAACTAAATATTGCAAAATATTCCATACTGTTTAAAGGGTACTGTTTACACATGAACTGATGTATTGTAAAACAAATTCGTAACGTTGAAAAGATAATTGTCATGAGTTCAGTAAATGATAAATATCTGTGAAAATTGGCGAATTCTTAACAAAACATTACACCAAAACGCACATGCTTTTCAGCAATTTGATGCATGATCCTTGTGCAATTCATCTGCATAAAGTTTGCAGTTGGTTCCCCCAAGTTAGTGGAGAAATCAATCTTCGATGTAACCACATATATATGCATAACATATAGTGAGTGTTTTAAGTGAGTAAACTTTTGATGGAAAGTATATATAATCTTGACAGTAACAAATAAACCCATTTAAATTGAAAAGGAGTCCCAGTGAGTTGGGAGACTCTGAACCTGGGGACAGCTAGACTTGCTTCATTTAGGGATTTAGCATTGCAGGTATAGTTTGTGTCAGGTATAACCAGTAGATACGGCATCTGCAGTTTGTGTCAGGTATAACCTATATATACATCTGTATAGTTTGTGTCAGGTATAACATATATATCTACTGGGCATATGTGCTTTGTGTCAGGTAAATACCTATATATACGGCATCTGTAGTTTGTGTCAGGTATAACCTATATATACATCTGTAGTTTCTGTCAGGTATAACCTATATATACATCTGTAGTTTCTGTCAGGTATAACCTATAGATACGACACCATGCAGGTGATACACGTGTCATGTTGGCCCGACACTTCACAGCTAAATGCAATACCGTCTGTATGTTCACTTCGTGGGGTATCCAGTCCTTTTACGATTGCTTCTATTGCTTTTGGAGGCGCTTTCGGAAATTGTGGAGATCCCCCAAGAACATGATTTTCTTTTTGAAAATATATACGGAAACAGAACTGTGAAAAACATTTGACGCATTTAAATATGACTTTGATTTTTCGATCATTAATAATCATGTGTCTATGATGTGGTCCTTTGATTTGAAACCCAGGGCCATTGAGATCAGTGATGAAAGGCATTGTATACTCACATCGGAGATTACATGGAGTTTTCTATTAAGTCAGCGTAGACTAACAAACATAGGTCCAGAAACCAGGCTTCGTATGACGAGACTAACGTGATCAGGGGGCTGATTGACTGTCATCGTAGTCTATTGCTTAGATCCATGCTCATTGTGTATCACTGGATTGTGTGGTGCAGAGTCAATAATTTACGAACAGCATCAAATAGCTGAAATGTTACTGGTTACCGCGCTGAAAAACAAAGTTTGCGGCTCAAAACAGTACAATGTATTATCCTGATTTGAAAAATCAAGTGTGAAGAAGTTTTGTTGATGTGGTGGTATATGAGCACGTAACATCCACGGTAGCACTGGCGTACTGTTTGAATACATGGTACTCAGTAGTGCCGTATGGTCGTCTAGACTTTGAACACCCAAGTCAGCCAGTCAGCCGGACTTGTGTGTTTGTGTGGGTGGGGAGGGGTGGACGTGGGGAGGGGTGGACGTGGGGGTGTGGAAGTGTTGTACTAAGACACTTACACTTAAGTACGTATGCATTCGTGAGTGGTGATGCCACGACTGAAAACGACTACTCATTCAAGTCACGAAATGAATGAGAGTTTAATGAGAGTTTAATGAGACATAGACCATACACTGATATAGTATGATAGATAGTATACCGGTAAGCATAGCCCAAAGACGTACTTACCTTCCTATGTACCTACCCATCTATTTATTTATGTAATAATATTTATTCATAGCATTGTCAGTGAAGCAGGCTGAACTTAGTTATGTTATATAGAGTTATTTCACTCGAGTGATTTAAAGTTTCAGATAAACAAAGAGTGAGTGAGTTTGGCTTTACGCCGCTTTTAGCAATATTCCCGCAATATCACGCTGGGGACACTAGAAATGGGCTTCACACATTGTACCCATGTGGGGAATCGAACCCGGGTCTTCGGCGTGACTAGCGAACGCTTTAACCACTAGGCTACCCCACCGCCCCTAGATAAACAAAGAACTTCAATAGTCATTAAAACTTCAGTTTTCAAACTATCTGCAGTTGAAGACAATCAGGGGCGTAGCTACCATAATAAAAAAAAAAGCCCGGGCTTACACGTGATTGTTGCTACAAAGGTTGGGCAAACCCTCGATACTAGCTTAATAAAAACCTTTACACAAAAATGGCTTGCTACGCGTCTGACAACTGAAGTCTACACACAGCAGACTTTATGGTAGTAGCATATGTAACGACCATTATATTTACACATTCAGATATTGATCTGTGCAGGAGTCCCTAGATATGGATAAAGTGTCAATTTGCATATAACCTACGAAGGTAAGTTTCAACACTCTTAAATCCCCCATGGCTGAATGGGAATGGTTATCCAAAAGATATATTTTAAATCAGGGATAATCTACAGCGTCTTCTATTCTCCCTGGTTAAATGCAGCTTCGAATTCTTCTGTTGGAAGACGCCGGGTTCGAGTCATGTTCGTGACATTTGTTTGTTTCTGTCTACATATGGCATAAACGCTCCGTGATATATTTACAAAGAGTTTTGATGTAGAAGTTTAATCTGCATCGTGTATATACGTAGTAAAATGTACACACAATTAAAAACACGTATGACTGGCGAGTTGTTTTCATTCGTTTGTGACTGTTCGCATAAAGTTGTCAGAAAAACATGCATCCTGGTCCACTTATCATATCGCCAAAACACAGTCACGGAAACACCCGACAGGTGCCCGAAATGTTGCTTCGTTGTCAGCCATCACAAGCCTGCCATTGAAGGGGAAACCAAGATGGCGTCCGTGATAGGCTCCGAAGTGGAAATACAACATGAAGTGGAAGTCGAAGCTATTCCAGTGGAAATGCAAATAGCAGAAACAATTGAAACAACAGGAGAAGTGTCAGTACAACCTATGATAGCTCTACAACCACTGCCAGAGTCAGCTCATGAGGAAATAGTGTTACAAACACGAGAGGAGGTTGTCGGTGAAGCGAACCTCGTGTATGCGGACGGCATTCCTGTTCCAGCTCCTGAAATTGAAATATCTACAGAGGAAACGACAACTTCGCGTAAGGGAAAGGGTGGGAAAAAGAAAGGAGGCAAATCAAGAGGCTTGGTTAGTTCAGGAGTGCTTGGATCAAGCGAATTCAGTCTCGGGGACTCCACATCTGCAAAGAAATGGGAACAAAAGCAAGTGCAGATCAAAACCCTGGAAGGAGAGTTTTCCGTCACTATGTGGGCCACGGGTAGGTGTATTATGCTTTCTGTTAACATGAGAATTCGCATGACTGTTGGATGTATGGTATTTTCAGTCGCGTGTTGATATATGCCTAGTACTCTTTCCCTCGGCTGTCACCGGAGGAAAGTTCCACAAAAAAGACAGTAACAGGCATGTGACGTAAGACAACCTTACTGGAGTGCTGCATTTTGCATCTCATTTCCAAAGAGCCCCTAATCTTTTGCTGTATGTGGTTATTTTCAATCAAATTGTTGGAAATTCATGTTTGTTTTGAAAGTGTCGTCGGCCATCATGTTTTTCATGGGCGCCGCCATATTTCGTTAGAACATGGCGGAATTTAGCAATGGCGACGGTCAGCCATCTTTGTTCAGACCTGCCAAAGGGAGCTCCGACGAAGATTTTCAAAATGTCACATTTAGTGAATATTTTTCGCAGATTATCACATGCAAACCCTTTTAACATCAAATAAACTATCGACATATTTGAACATCTACACGTATTGTGGTCGCTTACAATATTTATTGAGCAAAATGTCGATTTGACCTTGAAACAACCTTGAAGCACTCCAGAATGAATGCGCACTCGCTCTTTGTTTGGCCTATAGTCGTGTGATACAGACAGTGACTAATACACAACATTTTGTAAACCTGAAAATCTCTCAGGTGATAGGATTTTAATGTTTCTGACTGAAAATTCTCCTTTCTCTCGTACATTTGCGTCATAACCAAAATAATATCCATCTTTCCAATCGGATTTTGACAAATTGTTGACAAAGTTCACATTTCTTTTCATTAGAGGATTTTTTATGTTGTATGTATGAATTAAATTAATTGCTTTCGGGTGACAGAATAGGTACATCTGTTTATTCTCTTTCTAATTGTAAAATTCATGGTCTTGTGTCAACAGTTTTAACTGGAACTAGGACAGAGGGTTTTTAGTGCTATTAATAGATGTGAATACGACACAACTCGTTTTGGATGGTGTACATTTGATGCTTCTCACAGAATGGGTAAATCTCATCACATGGGTTCTATAATGTTAGTTCTTAATGCCATATGTAAAGAAACATAAAATACAAGAGTTGTTAAAACAACTGGAATAAAAAAAATTAAAGACTATTTTGGTGCTTGACATAATGCGTTTCTCTTTACCCATCAATTTTGTGTTAATAGTAGGATGGCCTACATGACAGTATATACATCAGTTTTATGTTTACAATAGATATTTTTACTTAGCAACCATTTTTGAAAGTAATGTGTGCATCCTTGTCTGTGTCTGGATTAATGTACTTAATGCTAAAATTATGTGACTCCAGTTATTATGTGCATTTTCAGGTGCAGAAGATCAGGGAAAATTAGATGATGATTCAGTTACGGGGGATTCCGATGCAGATTTTACAGAATACATGACAGGAAAGAAACTGCCACCAGGAGGAATACCAGGACTTGACCTCAGTGACCCCAAACAGCTAGCAGAATTTGCCAGGTACTGCCTTTGTCAGCTCACATGGTTTATGTCGAAGAAATCTTGAAGAAATGTGTTGTTGCTGGTCATGTGGAAGGTTTTCCTGCTAATTCCTGTGGATAGTATTTTTGACACTTTTCGCTTTTGATGCTTTTTGGTGTTTGTATACTCTGTTTTTTCCTTTTAAAAAGGCAAACTGTCTTGACAATGTAAATATTAGTATTTGTGGTTTACATTATGATGTGTACACACATTTTCTTCCTATGGTGATAACATCTTCTTTCGCATCCAAAACTACCAAGTGTCTCAGGTAACAAAGCTGAAAGCACCACTTGTTAATTTATTCATTATTTATCATGTTTATGAATTCAATTTGCAAATTGTAACAAGGCTAGGATTTTAATGGAATGCAGCTTCTGTGTAAAGCGTAACATGTGTTTTTATGAGTGTTTTCAGTCCACGTTCAGTGATGCTTTCCTTGTTAAAATTGAGTAGTCTCTTCTTGTTCCTTGATAGAACAGTTTTGTGTTTTATCTGTAGCTAATCAAGTATTCCTATGTAGTTGATCATGTTAGTGACAGCTTGAAGTAAGCCTTAAAGTATGTCATGTGTAAAACAGGGCTATGTTTCTCTTGTTCCGTCAGATTTTTCCCCTCTACTTTGTCTCAAGATGCATGTATTTGTCTGCTTGGTGCTGTATCATGAAGTGTAAGATAATTTCACATGGAATGAAGAAAAAGATTCAGTGCACAGTCTGTATGGAAGGGATTTAATGTGTCTAGACTATATTCTTAGTGTCTTAAATTCCGAAAAGTGAATCACTACAACCCAAGCATACTGTTTCACTGACTGATGGTTTCGCATAGGTTACTTGGAAAAGAGATGAACACAGACCTTGTTGCTAGCTTTGATTTACGAGGGAAACATTTGAAGTACATGTATGTTGTTTGCTGTTCTGACCACGAGACTGCTGCTGTCAGATTGGTGAGCTGGTCAATGCATTGCTGGCTACTTGATGGAGCCTGCAACCAAGTGTCACCTACTTATGCTGTAATGATGTCCACTATTGCAGGAGCAAGAGCACGTTTTCCCCACAGTCCAACTTGCTGCCTGATTACTCTCAAGGCCTTGAGTGTAACTATGAACAGTTAGCCCACAGGTATTTGCTCCTATATCTTCCCTTTATAACAGCTGATAACTAACACCCTCCTCCAGCACTCCCATCTTGGAAACCATAACTCTCACGTCAAATGTTGAATATCACAAAATATTTACAAAATTACTCCCAGTTTCTATTTGTACACCGTTGAAATTTGTGGAAAGAAATTTCCCACTGCACTTTTAATGTTCCTATTGAAATCTCATCGAACAATGTTCAACTATTATCTGCCATTATATTTTGATCGAGTTGCCCAGATCATTGTGTAAGTGTGGAAATGCTTGGTCAGGTCTGCTATGTTAGTGAAGATTGTATAACAAGTTTTAATCTCCCACAACACCTTTGTTAACACAGTAGCTCTTCTGATGCTCATAGCACGAGTAGTTTAGTCCAGACTTATATACAAATGTATGTTGGCATCACTCAGTGGTCCAGTAGCAGTTTTAAGATTTGGATGCCAAATCTTACACTTCATGATATAGACTTGGGTTATCTATGTCATTGGTGTTGGTACTTTTTTGACAGTGTGTTTTGTGATCAGATCAGTAAGCTGGGATTCCATGTTTCAGAATCAAGCCAAGGAAACCTTCTGATGATGTGCCAAGAACAGTTCCATGTCCTCATAAGGTAAAGGTGATATTAATGTGAATGTGAATGACCACAGGACTGGTGCCTACAAGACATTTTTTTGTTTGGTCTTAGCTTTGTACCGAGTTTAGAATCCTTGAAGTTAAAAACAAATCTTATGTTGATTCCAATAACATATCTGATATTTCTCATATATCAGTGACAGGTGAAAACAGGCTGGGATCAAACTGTTGTAAAGTTTGAATTGACTGAGTAAAGAAAAAAGTTTGATTGTGACCTTTCTTTATTGCCAATTTCTGTAACACAAGGTATTACTCTGTAAAACAATTTGCTGTGATATTTCTTTTGTGGCGTCAGATTTCATGAGTTTGGAACATCCACTTAATATTTCCTATGCTGTATTTCACAGTGCTTATGTATACATCCAGTTGTACAAAGTTTTCTATTGATGAATACAAAGATTGATGAATAACATAAGGATGCCATGTCTTGATACATACTTCACAATGTCATGGTATGTTTTGTTGCAGGGGTGTAATAAAATGTTTCGGGATAACTCGGCCATGAGGAAGCACCTGCACACACATGGTCCCCGAGTGCATGTCTGTGCTGAGTGTGGCAAAGCATTTGTTGAGAGCTCAAAACTCAAACGACATCAACTTGTACACACAGGAGAAAAGCCTTTTCAGGTAGGATTCTGCACACTCTAATGCAACTCAAAATACGCTAGTGATTTAGATATAAACTTTCACTGTTTTGGATGTCAATTAATGTTCAGTGTCATTATTAATGGTTTATTGGCAGGTCCCCAGGATTAAAGTAGTATTTGGATTTTTTTTTAGTAGTATGAATACCTGCTGCATTCAGGAATACTATATGCACTCTGTATTTTGAATCTTTGAATTGGACAAAGGGATATTTTTTACTTATGGCTTTATGTTTCAGTGTACGTTTGAAGGGTGTGGCAAGCGGTTCTCTCTTGACTTCAATCTTCGAACCCATGTGAGAATACACACAGGTGACAGACCATATGTGTGCCCATTTGATGGATGTAATAAAAAGTTTGCCCAGTCCACCAACCTCAAGTCTCACATATTGACTCATGCAAAAGCAAAGTAAGTTGTGTTCCCATCCTAGTGTCTTTGAGCTTTAGTCTTATTCCCTGTCAGGTTAGGTCTATTTATCTTGCATTCGTTATTGAGATCATTAGCTGAAATTATTAAGAACATACACATACATGCATCATACTGATCAGTGCCAATCTTAAATTGTTCATGACTGAAATAACATTTTCACTTGCATTTCCTAAGTAGGAAGATTGAATATATATGTTTTAATTCTGATTGTTACAAAGATCTTGATGGTATTTTATATTAGTAAAGCCAAATAAGTACAGGAAATAACATTGTCAAAACATTTACTGTGTGGTAATCTTGGAAACATTTTCCAAATATTGTCTTCCATTCCAAAGGAGATTATGAAGTCTTGTAACTTGTTGTTCATTCCGTTAACCTATGTATTGTATTGTAGGAATCAGCCTGCCTACCAGATCCCGGGGGTCCAGTAAGTAATATTTACACACATCTCTTCCCCTTCCGCTTAGGTGGGGATTCCTGAACTGTCAGTTCCAACCTTGAGTAAATACAGGGTGCCATGATATAGGTGGAATATTGCTGATTTCTGCATTAAGTAACATCAGCTACATACAACATGGTCCTTTCTTTACTGTTACATAACTCAAGTTTATGGTAAGAAATGCTTTTGAATACAAGTTTCTATTGGATCTAAATCAGAGTCTGTGTCAAGACATCGGTCAAGCTTTATGCTATTCAGCTAGCCTGATATAAGTAAAGTGTGATGAGGGCAATCAAAACCAATTATGGTAGTCCATAATGACTAGTGGCATTTATGGTTTGAAATTCTGAACTAGTTCAGTTGTTTCATTAAGTTTTGTTTCTTTTTCAGAGAAGAAGAGGTTGAAACTATTTATCAAGTGAACTTACTGGATCTATGATATGTGACATTTAGACCAGTATGCTGGTTCAATGAGAATACAGATTGTCAAGTGGTGAACAGTTATGTGGAGTGTGTTTCCCCAAACAGAGGGGAGATAACTCACATGATACGTGTAAATGTGTCTTGCTCTTTACCTTGATGTAAAGAGCATAGTTTGAACACAAGTTCAGAACTTCCATGTTGGAATTTGTCGGTGCACCAGTGTTGAAGTTGAAAAGCAAGCAAGTTGTTACTTTATCCCATGGGGATCATGGTTTTACCTTACCAGAAAATTGTCTGGAAATGAAGACGATCTACAAATTCAGAACATGTTCCTGTGATGGAACTGATGGAAATGAAATGGAGAAAAAAGACTCAAAATACACTTTGAATTTTCACAGAAATTAGTAGGGGATGGTTTTTCAAACACAAGTACAGATAAAAGGCTACACATGCCACTGCTAATGATTGCAGTGATTAACTGGGCCCTATCTTATGTTTCTCGGCCAATTGGTCATCAGATAGGGTTTACCACAACTATGGTTCTGGAAGACAGGCAGTGTCAGCTTCACCTGAAGCTGGTTCTAACTGCTAACATTTATGTAAATAACGGATTCATGCATATATTGAGTATACTTGTTTTGGCTTAATGCTTGGCATCTGTGTAATTTGTTCATTTTCAAAAAAATGTAACGTAATAGTATGTAAATAAAATGTTACTAAATATAGGCCATGTGTTGTCTTTGATATGACAGTAATACAGTTTTATGGTCATTGGGGGAAGATTGGGATTCCAGGTCAAGTTGGTGTACATTTCCCATTGCTTGTCTACGAGATATCATTAATACTTTGGTACAGACAGTACTAGATTGCGATATGGTATAATCAGAACAGGAACTGAAAAAGATACCTACATAATGGCGGAGGTTCTCCAGCCCCAGGTGTGAACAAGAGGATCTGGTGTTAAAGAGGACATTTACACTGCTTTTAGGTCTTCAATTTGGGGAAATTGTGTTTTTGAAAAATTCCTGAAACAGAATAAGCTATGCAGATAGAGCAAAAACCAAAGAAACCTCTCCAAGTCATTTCATCATGTCTTAATATCTATTTTGGTGTATCACGTTACTAGTGGTATTCTGGTATCTTGGGTACACATGGTGATGTGTAGTGCATCAAGAGACGTCCGCAGTCATCATTTATTTCCACTATCAAATGAAACATGTAGGTCTTAATGTGGGAGGAAATCCCAAAGTGATGCAAATCTTCATCATTTACTACGAACCACAAGATGACACATTTTACTCAGTACAAAGAGATTGTTAGACACAAATGACATGTACAGTACATGTACAAGGACTTTGTGTACCCCTCTGATAATGTGATATGTGTATATTGGTATGGTTCCCACGTCCGAAAGCTATGAATAGACAATGCCATTTAGAAAGTGGTCCAATGGAACATGTTATATTTGGGATTACACTTAGTAAATTTACACTTATCAGAGGGGTACACAAAGTCTGCTGTCTTCACTACCATTTGTCCGACTTCTATTTTTGTGGAAGCCGTGATGGCTGAGCGGGTTAAGTGGCTGACTCAATCCCCAGATGGGACTCAACCCAACAAAAGTACTAAAGTACTGTCGGAAATAGAAAAAACTGTTTTGGGGTTGTTACTCTATCCCTAAAATTTAGACAACTGCAAGTAGCATATGTTGAAGTAACCCACATCGGCCTATCTGGGCATTCAGTGGGATGTGTAATAGGATATCCAGAAAAGCATGTTTACACGTAAAATAGGGCAAAACTTAGAAAAAATACGAATAGCTGCTAAAAACGATAGATCAGACTATAGATGGCAATTAGGTCGCTCAGCCTGGTATGATGACGGACCTGCGACTCACCTGGCAAGAAATGCACGTGCTGCCAGGCACAAGGGGTCATCTCAAAGACATTTTATGCTTTTTTCTTGTGTATTGAATATGTCTCGTCTATTGATTATCATCTTACGTGTCTTTCATAAGGTTTATGTTGAGATATGTAAGAGAATATGATACCCATAGAAAAGCTTAAATCAACTATCGTCTTAAATGTCTTAAAATATATACGTGGCAAGACCACCCCAAGATCGACAGGACTGGATATTATTTGTAAATGGTTATGACATGCCGTTTACTTCCCCCAGTTTAATTCCCCTAAAGGATTATCTTATCGTAGCTGATATCTCTATCCCCCAGTACGACCCCCAACCACCGTCTGCGACACCCGTCCTGGTTTTGCTTTTCAGACGACCCCTCCTTTCTTTTTATAGTGATATTGAGGCTCCATGGTAGCTACATCCTTAATAGTTTCAGTATTAAAGTTAGTATTTTTTACGTCAGCTATCATTTATAATGAAGCTGAGTCTAGTTTCAAAATAGGCATTTAAAAAGTGTCCTTTGAAATACAATATCATTGCACACTAATTTGCATAAAGCCATGGTCTGTTCTAAATAAGTTGCTTTGGACTTAGGAAAAACCCGCATTGCTCATTTCTGCACTAATCTCTCCTCAGTAGAGTCATTTCTTTACGTTTCCTATCGCCCTACCACTGAGACTAGCTAGGCCGAATGTAGTTTCACAGATATTTCACACTTTCACATTTTAACTTCATAAATTGTAGATATATATGTGAAAAAAGTTTTTTTTCTATTTCCGACAGTACTTCAGAACCTGTACTTCACTGAGAAAGTGTAATCCCAAATATAACATATTACATTTGACCACTTTCTAAATGGCATTGTGTATTCACAGTATGTTTTATGTTCATCCTCATTCCTGAATATTCAGACAACAGGATTCTTAAATCGAGCAGGGGAAAAGGATATCCTTTCATGTTTGTTGTTCAAAATCGCACACAGCAATATTACATGAAACGCAGATTTGTAAATATTCATGACTGGAACAGACAATCCAGTGATTCACATTGTAAACAGAAGGAATGGTGATTCTGTATCAGTGATTTTGTGAAGCTTGACTACCCAATCCATATGATTGCTCCTTGACCAGAATAGGTTGCTGGGTGCGTGTTTCAACCTGGATTGGGGCAGTGGGGTAGCCCAGTGGTTAAAGTGTTTCCTCTTCACGCCAAAGGCCTGGGTTCAATTCTCCAAATTGGTACATTGTGTGAAGCCCCTTTCTGGTGTACCCCCACCATGATATTGCTGGAGTATTGCTAAAAGCAACGTATAACCCAACTCAGTCATGCATTACACTCAGGTGAATGTAAGAGATAGAGAGAGAGAGACATGAACAGCATCACTGGCCTGTCAGATACCTCTCCTCATAGAGAATCACAACAATATTGGATTTAGATGAAGATTTATTGTTTCCCAGGATTTCTGAGAGCTTGTACAGATGTGTAATGTATGAAAATGATACTAAATAACCCCGAATTAATTACTTCTCTATTTTACAATTGTTGCATGAAGTAAATGCATGGATGAAGAAAGAAACGCTAGGGCAATATACACCACTCAAAACAATTTACAGAACTCTGTACTGTTGAGTTGTAATACACATCAGCAATTAGCTATAGTCCACGAAAGAACTGGGGGTTCTTTATCTGCTTTTGAGTTGTCCATAAGGCATGATATGCCTCACCATAGTAACAATGTTGCCTGTTTTCACATATCCTACTCAAATTTTACTGAACAAAATATAATTAGAATTCGAAACATGAAGGATTTGGAAGCATAACTACCACAGACATCAATCATAAAACATTTCTTTCTAATGTCAATTCCCAAAACATAACTGAACAAAACTATATCTTTAGGTAATACTGACTTAAGGCATAGAAAGTCTGTAAACCAAGCTTGCTAATAAGAAGAAATATCGGTATTACTAATGGTCTCCCTGGATTATGAGTAGACCTTTATAGCTGCACAATTGTTCCCAGGAGGAAATATGATGTACACAAGATGTTTTCATTGAAAACTCTGAGAACGTAGAGATGATTCCAGGAAATTGATAAGTACAAAATTCCAAAATAATATGATAATATTGTCAGAGAAGAAACAATATGATAATATTGTCAGAGAAGAAAATCTAACCTCTGCTGACAGCAACCTGACCTCCGAATCATGACCGCCAATACCTGTGTTCCTTGTACCCTAACCAACTTATTTCTTATCCTGATATCTCATCTGAGTCTGGTCATAAAACAGTTTTGTTTGCTGGTTCATATCCAAACTTTACAATATTCCAGCTACATGACAACTGCCTTCAGATAATCAAGTCTGAACCAGAACTCAATTTTGTGGTCAACGATCCATGTCATCACAGTACAAAGACTCGCAATTAACTGAGTCAGCTAGCCTGACAACCTAATCTATTATGACCAGCAAGGGTTGCTGGGGGCCCCTTCAAACCTTAATACATGTAGGGTTTAATAATACATTGATAAATTGATATCTTCATACCATTGTGCAGCTTAACCTTGTTAATCCAGATACAACCATATTAAGTGAAATCGTCTAGAAAATGAAATTCCACATAAAGGAATGATGACTGTGGGGTAATGTGGATATATACATATGTTACAATGAGACTGTTCAGGTCCAGACTATCCAGACAGGTTTCTGGATTAACAGGGTCTTGATTAATGGGGTTTCATTGCAGGGATGTCATCTGAAACACAAGTATTCGGTCACTGGTTTAAAACCGACACGCGCCATCCGTAGCACTAGTTCAGTAGCTCTTGGCCTGCTTATACAAAGTAGAAACCTGTTTTCTAGGCTGTCATCTGGTATGAAATGGTCACTCTGGTTTACACTCCTTCCTCGTTCTGTCTGTCATCAATCACTGTCTGACCCTGACCCGCTGGATGACCCGAAGATCTCTGCCTCGTCCTTCTTCCCTGTCACCTCCCGCTCACTCTCACTGCTGCTGCTTCTACCGCTACCACGCCCACTGCCGCTACTTGAGCTGCTGCTACTGCGACTACCACTGCCACTGCGGCTTCTACTGCGGCTGCTACGGCTTCCACTACGACTGCGGCTCCTACTTCTTGATCGACTGTGACTGCGATTTCGACTACCGCTGCCACTTCGACTCCGACTGCGGGACTTGCTTCTGCTCCTGCTGCGGCTTCTGCTCCTTCGGCTTCCCCCGGACTGGACGCTACCTCGGTCGTCATCACTCTTGTTGCCCTCATCATCACTGCCTCTAGCACTCCCTACAACATGTCAGTCTTAGTGTGAGAACTCGCAAATAGTACATAATGAAGTCCATAAATATTTATAAGGTTATTTAAAAAGGACACAACATGGTTCAAAGATCCGCACACACACCCATGTCCAATATGTCCAAGATGGTGATCATAAATAAATTTGTAATTGCCAACAAACTTGGTGAAACTTTGGCAAACCATTCCTCCTCATCAAATTAAACCATTAGTTCCAGAAATACCAAAACCCAACAAGAAAAGAAAGCAATCAATTTTAACTCTGATAATGGTGAAGGTTACAATGAAAGATATCTCCATGAACTAAACACTGCCCTAAGGGAAGCTCGTGAAACTGCTGATGGAGCTGATAATATTCATTATTGAATAATATTCATTATCAGCTCCTGAAACACTGAATTAAGTTTGGAAAAAATTACTCAGTACATTTGTTGAAATTTGGAAACGGGTGTAATGCCTTGATCATTCCTTTACAAAGACAGGCTGTATCATTAACTAGCTGTGTTTGTAAAACCATGGAGAGCAAAGTCAAAATCGATTAATCTTGTACTTGGGAGACGAGTAATCTTCTTAGTACCATCCAATTTATTTTCCCCAAAAACCCCAGAAGTATCACTGATCCTAGGATGATGGCAACATTGCCAATGCCACCATCTTTGGGTCCAAACAACTCCTCAAGAATCCGAAAGCATAACACATGTTACATTTGACCACTTTCTAAATGGCATTGCGTATTCATAGCTTTCGGCTGTGGGAGCCATGCTGATTTAGACTTATCAGAGGGCTACACAAAGTCTGTGGTCTAGACTACTAGTTGTGTGAACACCCAAGCCTCTCACCTGTCTCCAGTGCATCGGGAGCAACAACCATCTCCTCCTCCTCTTCTTCTTCCTCCTCCTGCGGTGGCTCCAACATCATCAACCGTGCATCCTGCAACACAACCACGTTCTCCATCACAACAGGAGGGACATTTTCAATACTGCAATAGGTTGTTTTTGTTTGTTTGTTTGTTGTTTAACGCTGCAATATTCCAGCTATGTGGCGGCGGTCTGTAAATAATCGAGTCTGGACCAGACAATCTGGTGATCAACATGACTACAGCAACAGTAGTTTGATAGTTAAAGCCACTATTGTGATACTATTCCAGTACAGATCCAACTGTTTCCATGGTAATACGATAGTTAAAGCCACTATTGTGATACTATTCCAGTACAGATCCAACTGTTTCCATAGTAATACGATAGTTAAAGCCACTATTGTGATACTATTCCAGTACAGATCCAACTGTTTCCATAGTAATACGATAGTTAAAGCCACTATTGTGATACTATTCCAGTACAGATCCAACTGTTTCCATAGTAATACGATAGTTAAAGCCACTATTGTGATACTATTCCAGTACAGATCCAACTGTTTCCATAGTAATACGATAGTTAAAGCCACTATTGTGATACTATTCCAGTACAGATCCAACTGTTTCCATAGTAATACGATAGTTAAAGCCACTATTGTGATACTATTCCAGTACAGATCCAACTGTTTCCATAGTAATACGATAGTTAAAGCCACTATTGTGATACTATTCCAGTACAATGCCAACTGTTTCCACTATTGTGTACTATTCCAGTACAGATCCAACTGTTTCCATAGTAATACGATAGTTAAAGCCACTATTGTGATACTATTCCAGTACAGATCCAACTGTTTCCATAGTAATACGATAGTTAAAGCCAATATTGTGATACTATTCCAGTACAGATCCAACTGTTTCCATAGTAATACGATAGTTAAAGCCACTATTGTGATACTATTCCAGCAAAGGAGCAACTATGCAATTGTATTGGGACAGTTTGCTGAAAGCCAAGGCCAAGACCAAGGTGGCAGCTCCGTAAGACACTAGAGAGTTAGTGGGGGTTAACTCTGATTATATTATGATATTCATTTCAGAATCTTTCAAAATGGATCCCCTAAGATCTCCTCAAGCTTTGTGTAGCTGAGATTCAAAGCTAAGAAAAGCATCCCAATCAACCTTTTGTTACACATATCAATGCGATCAATAGTGCACCTTGGACTAATGGCAATCATTTTCTACTACTGATGTGGACCCATCTGTAGAACCAATGATTCAAACATGCCTGTGAGAGTGTTTGTTTATATGTTTAATTTTTGCTATATTCCATGTACATCACAACTATACTTTAACTAGGAGATAAACGTACTGTGTTTGGAAAATAGATGAATGTTAGACCGAATTGATAGTCTCTAAATTTCAAATAATTAATTTAGAGACTATCAATTCGGTCTAACATTCATCTTATTTCCAAACACATTGTATGTTTATCTCCATTCTACCATAACCGATTTAACATCGAACTTCCTCGTCCTGCTTAAGACACTGTGTAATCCGGCATGGGACGAGAGGCGAATTGAACTCGTCTGTGAAGGGATTGGTAGGCGCCATTCGTATTTTTGTTAACATTGCAACATAAAAAGTATTCTGTCCAAAGAAAACAAACTACTGTTTATTCAATGCAATAATGTAACACCTAAGAGCTTGGTTTTATAATCATAACTCCACACGACCGAAACCAGCCTATTGTTACTGTACCCCCTTGGCCACACTATAATGGAATCGTCTGATCTACGTTTTTTCTTGGAAGTAGACAGTTACGCAACAGTTTGAAATGGCGGACGAGCCAGTGTTTACATCTTGTGAAAGGTTGAAATTCGCAGTGACAGTGGGAAATACTTGACTGACTGTCGAACCTGAACCCTGCAGAATCGAAGAATACATCCTTTTCTGATCGACCTATGATCTGTAACTTATTAAAGACTGTTGATTTTTATGACCGGCGAGTGTCGATTATGATTTCACGTACGAAAGAGTGACAGTGCTGCTTTGTGTACATGCGACTAACTTGGGATTCCTTGGAACATTGTTCTCATCATTTTGGACTGGATTGTGGCCAAGCTTTTCAAAGTGTATACGAACATAGCAGTGACAGCCTTGCGGGGAAGGTGGCAACGAGCGGAATTCTCATGGTTCAAATTTGACATTTGGAACGATGCAATAGGACATGATGGAGTATGAGTGGCAAATTGTGTGTTTCGTCTGACCATTATCTTGCGAATTTCCCATTCTAAACGGAAACAAATATACCATTTACCAGATATGTAAATGTTTACGAACGTTTTGCCGCACAAATAGGGATAGATAGGGATGTATTTTTACAAGGTTTTCTGATTTATATGTTAGATATTGATGGTGATATGTTTGGGGCTGTCTATTGTAATTGAGTTTGAATATTTTTATAATAGAAGGTAATAATTATGATAGTGAGGTTCCCTAATAATTGTGGAGGAGATATCGTATAATTGTATTTTTCGAGTTTCATCAGCATTCCCATCATGTCTGTTGTGTTGATATTAGTCATGTTGGTGGCCAAGCTGAAGTAGTGCGGCAGTGTTGTATACATGCGCAGTGAAGCGCCGTGAAATCAGAGGCATTTTCAATACAAATTGATACCGTCTGATTTTATGGATTGACCAATCAAATTCGAGCATTTCACGTAGCCATGGTAGAATTACCTGTAACATGTTCCAGGTATTTCACAAATAGAATGGTTTACAGAATCGTATATTACTCTCCAAGATCCATATAGAAATATCCTTACCTGTGCAGACACTTCCTTATCGTTGAGGTCCCTGTGTTTGACAACGAGGCGGGACTTGGCCACCTGACCTCCACCTGTCTTCCTTCTCTTACTGAGACGAACTCTAAGTAGAAAATAACATCATCTACAGTCATGGACACCATTAGAATGGATACAAAACCACAGAACTGTAGCACTGAGAACTGGTTCAGAATGGTTGCACTGCAGTGTAACTCGTGAATGACAACAACCATCACATGCTGTCTACTAGTCCTCAGGACAATTTAGAAGTCTCGGTCTAGCACATCATCATCAGTATGGTTTTACGCCGTTTTTAGCAATATTCCAGCAATATCAACGGCGGGGACACCAGAAATGGGCTTCACAAGTTGTACCCATGTGGGGAATCGAACCCGGGCCTTCGGTGTGACGAGCGAACGCTTTAACCACTAGGCTACCCCACCGCCCCTCTCGGTCTAGCAGACCGATGTGAATTTCAGGGATTACATGTCATACATTCAACAGCACATCTCTTAGATTGGTTTAGTATTTCAATCAGCAATGAACACACGTTTGCTGATAGCTTACAGCTTAAACTGAGTAATGGGGAATATTCTCAAATCTGCCACTGACCGTGTTTCCAGCTCATCGTAGTACACGCCCGATTCTCTGAACACAAAGAAATATGTCTCTTCGTATCCCTTCGATAGCTTGTTCTTCACGTTCCAGTTGTACTCTCTGGCCAGCATGTACTCGTACCTGCCACACAACGTTTATAATACATGTTTGTGTTTTCAACTATGCTGTAAGGTATATATGTGGTCAAAGGGAGATAATTCATAAAATCCAAAATGTTCAATTTCACAGAACAAACTTGAATAAATACATTATTTGTTCTTGCGAACAATAAACACTGTTCATATAATCTGTACTCATTCAGAGAGCGATGTTACAGTGATGCTATTGGAGACAAACCACATTAGGCCATTTTCATGACTTTTTCAAGTTATAATTGGACATTGTTCTGCAGCATTACCAAATTTGAGAAACATCTTGGGTGACAACAGTCACTGTCAAATCAAATTAACTCATAGGAAACCTTGTGTGCAGTCTACACTTACATGGTAGTGCCATCCACACCACTGTGAGGTTTGGTCTCCATCTATGTGGGAATCCAGCCTACACTTACATGGTAGTGCCATCCACACCACTGTGAGGTTTGGTCTCCATCTATGTGGGAATCCAGCCTACACTTACATGGTAGTGCCATCCACACCACTGCAAGGTTTGGTCTCCATCTATGTGGGAATCCAGCCTACACTTACATGGTAGTGCCATCCACACCACTGTGAGGTTTGGTCTCCATCTATGTGGGAATCCAGCCTACACTTACATGGTAGTGCCATCCACACCACTGCAAGGTTTGGTCTCCATCTATGTGGGAATCCAGCCTACACTTACATGGTAGTGCCATCCACACCACTGTGAGGTTTGGTCTCCATCTATGTGGGAATCCAGCCTACACTTACATGGTAGTGCCATCCACACCACTGTGAGGTTTGGTCTCCATCTATGTGGGAATCCAGCCTACACTTACATGGTAGTGCCATCCACACCACTGTGAGGTTTGGTCTCCATCTATGTGGGAATCCAGCCTACACTTACATGGTAGTGCCATCCACACCACTGTGAGGTTTGGTCTCCATCTATGTGGGAATCCAGCCTACACTGGGAGAGCAGTCAACACACACGTGGAAGGGGGCACCTACATCAGAGTGCAATAATATAAAATGTTGTTTACACTTACTCCTCCTCTGGCGTGTAGTCAACACCCTCTTCTCCATCACGCTTCCTCTTCCCAATCGTTTCATCTGTCGGCAAGAAATAGGCCACAAACTGCTCCCCACTCTCATCAACGGCTCCTCTGTAATCATGAAATACATACATAATCATAACAGTTCCTGTCAATGTGAACCTCCTTGGCTGAGACAACCCTAGCAGTAGATGCAACAAGTCCTGAATTAGCACAGCAGATGAAACACGGTCATCTGGATGTAACATTTCATGGCATCAATGATTGGGCAGTTAAAATAACATCTTGTGGATGAAGCATATCAGTGCATCAAAGAAATCATCAACTTTGACATCACTGAATGCATCACTGACCTGATCATGGCCTGTGACATCTCCTCCATCTGTGCCGGCAGGGTCTGTCCCTTCGGTGCAGGGTCCGAGTCAAACAACACCTGGGCAAACGGATGTTTCCACAGCTAAAACAAACAACAGTTTCAATGTCACTTCATCCTCAAATAGCATGCCTTCCAAATCATTGATTCATCCATATTTAACAGGAACAACAGAAACGACCCAAACAATAACAAACCTCAAAGTCTGGGAATATGGACAACACTTCAACTGGAGTGACATTGGGCTTGCTGTAGTGCTTCTTGATCTGAAAACAAACATGATATATAATATTTCTGAGTCACAGCAAGCAAGTTCTATTTTTTTGTTCCCCCTCATTTCTTAATAAGTGTACTACCCCGTCACCGCAATACTTTAGTTGTGCATGCGACGATAAATAAAGCAAATAACAACAACAGCAAGTATATATATGGGTATTCTAGCCACACACTGTAGGTATATGGCTATCATAGCAACGCAGGACACACACACATATATGACTATAAACCTTAAAGCGCCTAACAGGCAGCTTGGGTTATCCGGGGTTGTTAGCGCTGTGAGCATACCTAGTGTGGAGTTTGGCGCTATATTATACATTATTATTATTGTTATATGGCTAACCTAGCTGAATGTATACTGAATGTGTCCAATTGTGTGATGACGTAATGTAAGCGGATGTGGTGAAATGCACATCTTTGGGTGTTTATAAACATGAGCATGTGTTTTGTTAAGAGGAATTTATTGTGTTTGCTGTAAAGAAATGATATGTAATTGTCAGTAGAATGAGAATAATTGTAGGAATTCAGGAAATGCATGGAGCCAAATAATGCTAAATGGAATTATTATTATTGTTATATGGCTAACCTAGCTGAATGTATACTATCAATTCAAACTATACACAACATGAATGTGTCTGTCCTTGCTCTGGGCAACACATATGTCCCCATCCTGGATGTCCATACCGGTATCTTGGCCTTCTTGAAGGTGTCCTCAATGGCCTTGATCTGGGTGTCCCTGTCCTTGTACATGTCCTCCTCTTTCATTATCTGCTTGATCTTGAAACCCACCCTGAAACACAGCAGAATGTGGTAAGCGAGGTAACTCACCCTGAAACAGCAGAATGTGGTAAAGGAGATAACCCACCCTGAAACATAGCTGAATGTGGTAAGGGGGATAACCCACCCTGAAACACAGCTGAATGTGGTAAGGGGGATAACCCACCTGAAACACAGCAGAATGTGGTAAGGGAGATAACCCACCCTGAAACACAGCTGAATGTGGTAAGGGAGATAACCCACCCTGAAACACAGCTGAATGTGGTAAGGGAGATAACCCACCCTGAAACACAGCTGAATGTGGTAAGGGAGATAACCCACCCTGAAACACAGCTGAATGTGGTAAGGGAGATAACCCACCCTGAAACACAGCAGAATGTGGTAAGGGAGATAACCCACCCTGAAACACAGCAGAATGTGGTAGGGGAGATAACCCACCCTGAAACACAGCTGAATGTGGTAAGGGGGATAACCCACCCTGAAACATAGCTGAATGTGGTAAGGGAGATAACCCACCCTGAAACATAGCTGAATGTGGTAAGGGGGATAACCCACCCTGAAACACAGCTGAATGTGGTAAGGGAGATAACCCACCCTGAAACATAGCTGAATGTGGTAAGGGAGATAACCCACCCTGAAACACAGCTGAATGTGGTAAGGGGGATAACCCACCCTGAAACACAGCTGAATGTGGTAAGGGAGATAACCCACCCTGAAACACAGCAGAATGTGGTAAGGGAGATAACCCACCCTGAGAGATAACCCACCCTGAAACATAGCTAAATGTGGTAAAGGAGATAACCCACCCTGAAACATAGCAGAATGTGGTAAGGGAGATAACCCACCCTGAGGTGTATGAAAGTTTAGGACGAGTGAGGAGGGCCTTATATCTGTAAAGCAATACACTGGGTTTCATTCAAACATTGGAATCAAACTCAGGTCTTCTCTGTGACAAGCTAACATTCACCTACAAGTCTTATTACTGTAAGACCATGACCTTACTTGGTTTCAGACTGGTCCGACTTCTGCTGAAATCGGTTGTACTCAGTAGAGATGTACTCTGTCTTCCGGAGCCAGGATACTGTCGTGTTGTGATGGCGAGACCTGCATAGCAGGCAAAATACAGGCATCAGTAACACTTTCTTTACAATAGTACACACAAACATACAACACATCCTGCACAGTATGTAACATATATTTAATAGACAACAAATATATTTTGTAGTTAAACTTTGCATGTCAAAGTGAAACATTCCTTCTGACAGTTATTCCCCCCTTCGCTAGGGTTTTATCCAAAATGAAACCCCCTTCCCAAAGCTTGTTAGAAAGATGTCAGCGTCACCTCTTGCTGTCTGCAGGGGTGTTGACCTCTTCCTCCAATAGTTTTTCATCCTCAGGATCTGGGTATGCTGCAAAGGGAAAATCAAAGGTGATTATTGGCATCCATATTTTCTTCTCATGTTCACTGTTATATATAGTTATACACAGATGTCGATGTTGCCATCTTTGCCTCACCATTGTGGTCGATCTTGTAGGTTTCTGGATTGATGAGGTCGATGGTCACCCCAAGGTCATGTTCCGTCAGTAAATCATACTTGAAAGATCTCTCCAGTGATGTGGGGTTGTACTGGATGAATCTGTGAATGAAAATAGGGTAAATTATGTTTATAAAGAACATGCTAAGAACGAAATGATGGATATAGCGATTACTTGGTGGTCCCATGTGTCCTCTGCCAAAGTTAAATTCACAATGAACCGTTAATCTCTCTTCAAACCTGACATGACAGACAATAATTGAGATTTTACTGCTGACTGTCTTAATGTGTATCAATATATGAGATAGACATAGCGTGACAACTCTTGTCAGAACCATCTAACAGCATCTATGGCAGCATACTGATGTTATTCGGCAAAGTCAGAACAGTAACAGACCGTAAGTTGAACTGAGATTAGCAAATAACTAAGGATTTGCACCACTCCATGATTGTCAGATTAGGATAGGTCCCCACCAACACATTCTGACTTTGCAAGGTGACAATGTATATGAAACATAGTTATAAATTCATAAATATTGCTTTAGAACAAAAGACTAACACACTACCTGTTTGACTCAAAAGGGTATGTGATGAACTTGGGATCAAATGGTATGTCAGGTAACGTATTGTTGAACTTGACCCGGGGGATATCAACTCTGACCTGAATGCAAAACAAATATACATCAAAAGTGGCAATATAACAAAATAATCATATTGGTTCAGTTAAAATCCTCAAGCCTGGTTGCAAAACAAATCACACTTTCTCAACAATCTGGTGAAGTCTCACATGATCATCTACCTGTCTTCACCAGTTCCTGGAGAGTTGCCATGACACCATTCAGTGGAACCCTTTATATTTTTCCTTTGTTTAAAACCTTTCCTGGGAAATATATTTTTGAAGAATAATGAGCTTAAAACATGAAGGAGTTGAATTTACTTCCTTAGTCACTTTGTTTCTTAAATTAAATATTCTGTAAGATGCAATCTCCCACAGCATTGTGAAACTTGTTTATATTTTTCTTCTTCTTTAGAAACAAAAAGGGTCCTGACATTACATTTGGAACTTAGATGAGTACACGAACATGTTAAAGGTCGCATGCAACCAAAAAAGCAAACATAATTAAAACACAATTATCACTTATTCATGACATATAATATACATTGCTGATTGTGAAAAAAACAAATAAACAAAATTATAAGCGTACAATCGCGAATCAAAAGTGCAATATTTTGTACTGGGTTTACTTCCCTCGAAACGAAGCATCCGGGAGACCGAACCAAGTCAGAGTGGGTGGGTGTGCACTCAAGTGTAACAAGTCTCTCATTGGCTGGTTCATTTGCCGATACCCTGAGGGCTCATTGCATGTGTGTATATAGAGATGATCTGTTTGATTGGCATTTTAGAAGTATGGTGAGTAATAAGAAAGTAAGATTCTTTTTGGATAACAACTTCTTTTATTGTATATGATGCAACGTTTCGGTATGGATTCTTATACTGTTGTCAAGCAAGATTGACAATGGTATAAGAATCCATACCGAAACGTCGCATCATATACAATAGGAGAAGTTGTTATCCATAAAGAATGTGTATAGAGATGTTGGGTTTTGAAATACATGCTCTCTGCACTTGTGTTCGATCCAATCAACAAATATTGAGATGGTGAACTACTGCGTGGCTGGAAACTGTCGTTCGTCCAAGTACAAAGCAGGACTTGAAACTGACAATTTAAGTAATCTAACAATAATTACAAAAGCATATGCATTGGAATTAAAACTGGCATTTATTCTTCCAGGCTGAGAGAACATGCAACAGGAAATCAGTAGGCCAACATGCGGTGGCTCACAAAAAGGAGTCAAATCCCCCCACACACACACTAGTAAAGTCTAACACGTGAAATATCACATAATGCTATATAGATATAGATATGAACACGTAAGTATGCCTATTGTATACTGACCCTTAAGTATCTTGTACACGCCACGCCAATATTACTACTGGGAGGGTGGGAGGGATTTTTGTCAAGTGCAAAGCAGTGCAAGCGTGCCCGTCTTGTCGCCTTAGCGTAGGTGATAGCGGCGCCGTTTCAAGGGAGCTAACCCCATTCTACTGTAGATGTTATGTACAAGGTGAAAAATGTGGTCAAAGGGAGGTAACTCTTGTCCTAACTCAAAATACATTTTATGACATAAAATAACACGCCGAGTTTGCACCGGTTTCCGTCCGATCCAGTCATCGATGCAGTTTGTTTGCCGAGTTTGCACCGGTTTCCGTCCGATCCAGTCATCGATGCAGTTTGTTTGCAACCCACAGACATAATAACATGTCATGTGTACAAGTATCACACCTTCCTGTCTGTGTAATTACATAACGTGACATAGACAGAACTCAGGTGCACGAGCCATAAATCAATGTATTTTGTTTATGGTGTATCGCCTGATAGGTGTTAAGTTCCAATTGCATGTGGTCAATGATTGAAGTTGTGTATTGCATATTGTCATTAGCAGACAGGCAGGCAGGCAGACACATAGGTGTCAATAAAACAGCCATTGAGTTTTGTCTGTGACAGAGACTGCTTATCACAATCAACATATTTTTCTATGTTTCCATAGACATGTATTAAAACATTTCAGTTTTCAAGCTGAGCAAATTTTAACAATGAAATTAGTATTTCTAATGCTACACTTTCTTGAAAACTTGGTTTGCAAATCTGCAACCAAGTATGGGACCAGTGTATTTTTATTACTGCAGACCCAAGATGCTTGTAATCACAAGAAACATCTTTTGTTCTCCAACTCCGACCACAGCAATAATCCTTGCAAGCATCACTTGCTGTGTTTTTACGAGTCGCCTTCCCGGTTCAAGCCACGCGTACCTAATCACTGCGCATGCGTTATGGGCGCAGCGCAGCACAGCTGTTGAAACCACTTTTCACCCCAGCGCTGGGGTGAAATTTGTGAATCGATTGAACTACGATTTCGCCGGGGGGTTTCATCACATTATTTTTCAACTTTATAAGTTGAATTTGCATTTTTTATAATTTGTTATTGTAAGTCCATACCGAAAGGTATCAGAATCTGCAAAGTTGTGTTTTGCGTTACATGTGACCTTTAACTTGATGGTGTTACTATTCAGATTAATTGATAGATTATCCTGCATGTAGACTTGTACCCTGTTGCATGTGCTTGCTGAAGATAAGTGTTAGGGCAGGGTACCTTACATTTGTGTAAGGGTAGGTAATTACAAATATAGTTTCAAAGCACACACCATGTTTAAAAGTTAACACGATTACTGTCCTTGCCTGAGGGCAACAAAATAATATTTTCTCAATTGCCTGTACCTTTATTTTCATGGGTCGATGTAAATATACTAAAGTGAACACCCGTGATAACATGTATCATTATAAAGGCCGCCATAAATTCAAGTTTTGTACTATTACTTCTAGTGGGAATCCTATTATAGCAGGGAGAAGTTGACTTAGCAGTAGGCTGCAATGTTGTCTGACAGTCGAGACTGTCAGGTCCCAATCACTGCTCTCTGCTAAATTACTTAAAGTTCTACTATATGTCATCTATGTTATGAGACTGAGTATAACCATAATCATAAGGCATGCTTCAGCAGGTTGATAAATACATGAAGGCGAACTATTTATTTTGTCGGTCACAAAATAAACACATTCATCAGAATAAAAACAGAATACTCAGCAAAACTGCATAGTGCTTTACAAATTTTCATGAAGAAGATTAGTCTACAAAAGGCCTAGATCTAATAAGGAAAGAGCTGTTGGATTGTGTACAAAACGCAGTTTACCTTTTATCCCCAGGTCTTTGTCTTTTCTCTCTATCATCCCGTTGGCCAGTCTGTATAGTTGGCGGCATGGTTACAGTTTAGCTGATCGGATAGTAAATCACAAAACTGTAACAACAACGTCCAGCATGTCTACATTCTTTTGGGTTACTCAAATAAACCGGAAGTTGTCCGATGCGTGAAGTTCCAAATAATAACAAGTATCATCAGTGGTAGATTTTATGCCGAATAAGTCAATTAAAATAACGTGATTCCTCATAGTTGAACCCTAAATTATATTTCACATTAAGTCAATAATAAATGACCATATATAAAAGTAATATGAAATATAGAGTGCTTTAGCGCCTCACGGATAATTGCGCACTTCTTCAAAATGGCCGCCCCTGTCGCTACAACCGGTGCATCGCATATGTCACAAGGGCAACCTCAGCAACAGCCACAACCACCCCAACCACCACAGCAGCCAACAGATGTTGACCCTGTTGCTAAATTTAAATCCTTGCTTTTACCTCGTCTGAAGGAATCATTAGCTGTAAGATGTTTGTGATCGTTCGTTCCCCAACCTAAAACTCGATTCTTCATTGTCTTCAGTTTAAAGGGACACTGATCTCTGACAATTCACTGGGACTGGTTGTTGCCTTTGTTGTTTTTTATAATATATTTTTGTGCCGTGTAGGCTTGATGACATCTCAGAAATCAGAACTATTTTTAGTTCATATGAATAAACTCGTATTCCAGCGCAAAGACTAGTTATATGCTGGACTAGACTATTTTGCGACTTTGTCACTTTTATTGATAGTATAATGGCATGTCGTCACCTGGATAAACAAAAATAGAAACAGTTTTGTTTTTGAATTTTAACTGAAATGTAGGCATCTTTTAGGGATCGCTTTGGCAATGGTGAAAAAGTTTTGATAAGTCACTTGGTATTTAGAATAACACAAACTAATGATTTCACCTCAATATTGCTAATAAATCAGATAGTGAGTATATATGTTACAGCAGAGACCAGGCACACCTACAGGATACCAGATACCTACCATCCATATTGTTTAGTGTCACATCACCCTAACCCTATACCTTCTCTAACCCTAACCTAACCATAACCCTTCTATGCACAGTTCTAAAGTACACTTCAAAGATGGCGGAAGGTATCCGGTATTTTGTAGTCTTACCAAGAGACCATACAAGACTCTGGTCTCTGGTTACAGGCAAATGGTGTTATTATCGCCTTAGTTAATGTAATAAAAATCAGGATTATATATTTCTTATATATTTTCAGTTGACTGAAGTTTAATATTCATTTCTCTTGTAAGTAATGTGGCTTAAAGTTGGTAATTGTTCTATGCAAGCATGGCAATCCCAGCTGCCCCGTTTGACCAATAAACTGAAGCTACTCTCTATCATTGGGAAAGACTTCCGCCCATATCCCCCCTTAAATTTCATTCTAGTCAAATCATATCACCTGAAAATATATTCCTCATCTGATACGGATGAGTTTTAACATGTTTCTTTATTTGTATCTGAACATACTGAAAGACACATCCAACTTCTAAACATGCCACTCAAAGAAATGTTTCCTCATCATTAAAATTTAGGGGGGATACAGGCGGGAAGTCTTACTCAAGTAATAAATCTTAATAGTTTTAATATTAAAAAAATATTCAAATCATTTTTCCTGGAGTGATGAATTTGTTGATGTAATTTGCATATGTAAATTGGCTTAATTTCCCACATGGGTACAGTTTGTGAAGCCCAGTTCTGGTGGTCCCCATTGATATTACTCGGATTGCTAAACATTGATATGACGCCTGGTTAATGCCCAGAGGTTGATTATGTTTCAGACGTTATTCAAGGTTGCTGGTCAAGCCTTCAATCAAAATGCACAACAAGATGGTGGATTGTGAGTACCTAAAAACATTGAATTAACAGTGTTTTTACAAATACAGGCAAGGTATTTCGTTTTGTGAGACTTTTATTGATTCATCAGTTCATGGTAGATTTGATATGCAGATTTACGTTACACGGACTTGAGACAGGGAATGATCTGCTCCTGATGGTTCAAATCTCAGATTCTGGCTGATTATAATCCTTAAAAATATATACAAAAAAAACAGTTAGCAAAAGACTAGTACAAACAAATCCTTTACCCTTTGTGACTGTGATCTCTTGCTTAACATGGCGAGTGGGAACTATTAAAAGGCTAAACAGATTAAATACAGGAATGGAACTTTAAACTTACATGAAAATATCAAATATCAACTTCATTTATTTGAAACTCAGCCTTTCGGTTAATTGTTACAAGTAGTTGGAGTCTTCTTTACTTGAATGTAGCACAGAGATGATTGGTATTTAAGCAAGGTTACCTCTTCATTCATAAAACTTATCCTTGCAAATCTTATCACCTAAACTGTTGGTACCATGTCATAGAGAAGTCATATTTTGGAACAGAAGTAAACTGTAATAATTTGAAGAGTTTAGATGCTTTATAGAATTTAGGGTTGTAGGGTCTGTTCCTATTTTTCCAATTATGTCTAATTTATAAGGTAGTAATACAAGACTAGGTGTTGCAGCACTATGTGGCTTAGATACTGCCAATATATAACATTCAATTTTTACTCGCTCACTATTAAGTTTTCATTTCAAAACTTGAAGCTTAGGATCTGTTAGGATTTATAGAGAGCAATCAAAATACTTTTGATAAGCCATGTTTGTTACCCAGAGCAGGGTAGGTCCCAAGTACCCAGTGCTCCTCTGGCTATAGATGTTCACATGTGTCATTGTACACAATTACATGTTGGTCCTGCTATCAACACCTGGTTGACTTGCTTCGCTGTACTATAAACTCCCTCATTCTTCGCAGCAAACCAGCCGAAGGACACCAGCAAAAGTTTGAGAAGAGTCTCGAGGAATTCTATGGTGTGTGTGACCAGGTCGAGGTGTCTCTTGTGAGTAGCACAGAATGGAGTTGTTGACTTGCCGTTGCTGGTGGTGATAACAGGAATTTGGGGGAAAACATAGGAATGGAGTCTAGATCAAGTTCTTTGGGGTACAAAAAGTACATGATTCAGACTATTAGTTGTCCAACTTTCATTTTTGTAGAAGCTGTGGTGGCTGAGTGGGTTAGATCTCTGACTTTCTGTGTCGATGATTAGGATGAGAGTGTGGGGTTCGGATCCGAGATGAGACTTAAACTAATAAAAAAACTAGAATCTGTATTTTACTGTGAAAGTGTAATGCTAAATATAGCTTGTTACAGTTGAACACTTTCTAAATGGCATAGTGTATTCAAAGCTTTTGGCGACGGGAGCTGTACACAAAGTATGTGATCTGGGCTACCAGATGTTTAACTTCCATTCCAGCTTGTACAATATGTAACAATGTAAGCAGGACAACAGTTACAAAATGAGAGCTGAAAAACTAGGGCAATATACAATTTATTTACCTCAGCCTGTTATCACATACTGCTTTATCATTATTTCATCTCAACACTTGACAGAAGCAAAAATACTTGTTATGTCACCTCTGAATACTTGCACACTCCCTCCAAGTCTGCCATTCTTCCTTTTGTGTTCTGTCAGACTTCTGAATGGATGTCTTCTGAAGCTCTCTTATTGGTCTGCTGTTCCAGATCTATTAGACACTACATGTACTTATCTCATGACTGTGCTGCTCTATGTATGCCCTACACTCCAGTGTTCCTGTATTACATGCCAGTAGACCCCTGAAGATCCGGGGTAGAATAGGTCTTCAACAACCCATGCTGGCCACGAAAGGCGACTATGCTTGTCGTAAGAGGCACCTAACGGAATCGGGTGGTCAGGCGTGCTGACTTGGTTGACACATGTCATCGGTTCCCAATTGCGCAGATCGATGCTCATGCCGTTGATCACTGGATTGTCTGGTCCAGACTCGATTATTTACAGACCGCCACCATATACAGTAGAACCACGGATATAGCGAACTCCAAGGGACCCGCGAAATATAGTTCGCTATATCCGGTGTTAGAGTTATTCACATTTGACCGCCATCTTGGATTGTAGAGATGTAGAGACACGTATATGCTGAGGCTACAAATATTTATTCTTGTACATGTACATTGACATAACATTAAAATTCTGAATTTATCATTCACAGACATTAGCTAGAACATGTTTAACAATCACAACAATCTCAACAATACATGTATATAAGCTTAATTCGTTTAACAAAGACCACAATTTTGCTCTGCACACCACGCCGCCAACAAGGTTGATGTATACCGCTAAGTGGCTGAGCTGACACTGACTGAGTTTGCTAGTCCGCGTCGTTAGTTGGGCTTGGGGGTAGTAAATCAGTTAAGCTATAGCCGTTAATTAAGCTACTCCACGAGTTCGTTATTGGCGTTTAATTTTAATGATATTATAAAGGACTGTTGCCGGGACTTTTAAATTTGTTTTGCTATATCCGTTTGTAATGCGCTATATCCGTGTTCAAGTTATATCCGTGTTCTACTGTAGCTGGAATATTGCTGAGTGTGGTGTAAAACTAAATTCACTCACTACATGCCAGTATGACAATATGTACACATGAGTCATCCTGAAACAACAAGCTCCATGGATCTCGGCATGTCAACTAATGTGCATCCACACTTGTTCCACTACTATGGTTTCCCATTGGAGTTCAACTTCAACTGTATTGACAAAAATAGGTACAATTTCTAGATCATACTTTGGTAGCCAGGTTCTTGACATACAGTCTTCCCCCAAAGTTGCAGCAAAATCTTATAACTTCTCCTGGTCACGTACAGTATCCCTATTACCAAGTTAGACCAAACACTTACCCATTGTTTATATTTCTCTGGCAGAGTAATTGGTGCCTCAAGGTTGACATTCTCTTCCCACAGAGGTTACCCCTGTCATATCTTCCTACGTAACCTCTGTTCTAATACGGCCCTTTCATGGTGTGACCGTTCAAGACTCGTGATTGGAGGCAATCAGATTGAGTTGTGCAATCAGCGACGTTGTTTCAAAAGTGATCATTCGCAAGGCCTCGGTAATTTCCGTATGCTTCGAGAACTAAACTTCTTCCCCTGCGCGATGCGAAAACGTTTCTTCTAGACAGAACTCAGTCATGTTATGGCGGATCAGTGGCGTCTCCATCATCCTCGTTGACAACGGACAAGCTAGCCATTAAACGTCTTGTGTGTAACATCAACACAAGTCCCAGGCAGATGGGGGGATATTTGTGGCCCCACATTTGCTTGTGTTAGTCAAGTTGAATCTAAGTCGATGTAACACGTGTTCTGATTGGATAGAAAGAAGGGAGATAATTCGTGTTGCGATCTTTTGCCGCTAGGGGATTTTACGAGAACTGGGAAATATGGCCGTATTAGAACAGAGGTTCGTAGGAAGATATGACAAGTAACCTCTGTGGGAAGAGAATGCAAGGTTGGGGGTCAAGATCTTTTTTTGTTCAAGAATAATGTTAAATTTGACCAGCAGGAGAGTATCGCTAATAATAGTATTCACAGGATGAATTTACTACTGTGGGAGTTATGTATGACTGTGTCCTCTTGTTTGTCTTTTGTGGCAATCAGGTGGACATTGACAGATCAATCTTAATGTAGCTGTTGAGCTCCAGTACCTCAGAACATTGTCATTCTTTTTATGTCATACAGATATGAAAACTTATAATACGTTGTCCTCTAACTTTCCAGCGGTTAGCCCTTGAGAGTCAGTCCCAAGTATCAGACAGCAACAAGTTCACCCCCCAACCCGTGCTGCAAGCCAAGGGGGACACACCGCCGACAGAGGGCCAGCTCTACCCTAACTACCTCGCCACAATCAGGTCACAGATCACATGTGCCAAGGAAGTGCATGATATGCTACATGAATGTGTGCGGAAACTTTCAGACAGACCTTGATGTGCCACACAAACAGGGACACCATGACACCATATGACAGACAGACCTGTGATGTGACCAGATGACACCAAACTGTGTGAGGATGACACCCATGACAGATGACACATGTGACAGTGTATGACACCATTGTGACTGGATGACCAGATGACACCATGATAACTGTGTGACCAGATGACCATGTAACAGTGTGACCAGATGACACCATGATGTGACCAGATGACACCATGTGGCTGTGTGACCAGATGACACCATGATGATGACACCATGTATTAGTGTGACCAGATGATGACACCATGTGATGACACCAGTGTGACCAGATGACACCATGTGGCATGTGACAGTGTGACCAGATGACACCATGTGACAGTGTGACCAGATGACACCATGTAACAGTGTGACCAGATGACACCATGTGACATTGTGACCAGATGACACCATGTGGCTGTGTGACCAGATGACACCATGTGACAGTGTGACCAGATGACACCATGTAACAGTGTGACCAGATGACACCATGTGGCTGTGTGACCAGATGACACCATGTGACAGCGTGACCAGATGACACCATGTATTAGTGTGACCAGATGACACCATGTGACAGTGTGACCAGACGACACCATGTGACTGGATGACACCATGCGACACTGTGACTGGATGACACCATGTGGCAGTGAGCAGATGACACCATGTGTTAGTGTGACCAGATGACACCGTGTGACCAGATGACACCATGTGACAGTGTGACCAGATGACACCATGTGACAGTGTGACCAGACGACACCATGTGACTGGATGACACCATGTGACATGACTGGATGACACCATGTGGCAGTGAGCAGATGACACCATGTGACAGTGTGACCAGATGACACCATGTGACGAGATGACACCATGTGACAGTGTGACCAGATGACACCATGTGACGAGATGACACCATGTGACAGTGTGACCAGACGACACCATGTGACACTGTGACTGATGACACCTGAATGACCGTCTGTGACAATGTTACACTGAGGGTACAGGTGGCACACAGGATTATTTTTGTTCTAAACTCATGATTCAGGTTTGATGGGAATATATCCTTAACTGTGGTATCTCATGGGATTGGAAACTGTAATAGTAATACAGGTGCTGAGTTCATGTTCGATGAGGAACATCTGTCAGTCGACACCTTGCCATGTTTCAGTCATTAGGACAGGGTTACCAAAATAAAACGGCGTGTTCTGCGTGAGGATCAAATTCTGTAGCACTGCTGCCCCATCCCTCATGTTGTGATGGAAGTAACTGGGAACTTAACCTGTGGATATAGCACAGAATCTGGAGGAACTGCTAAGACAAGCATAAAGGGCATAACTTAAATATTACTATTTGTATGTACATTAATCAAAATTAGCTCACCACCTAGAAATTCAAGATAAATTTCCAGAATGGTACCGACCTACCTCTTGTCATATGGCACAGGAAGCATGGATGACCCAGAACTCATAGCCACCGTCGCTTGCTGTACACAATGACATCATGTCAGAATTTGCTGTTCGTGGGTTCAAGTCCCTGACTATGATCTTGGTTTGCCGGCAGCAGCTATGACCCCTGACACTCCAGGCTGATTCGCCATGATATCACTGCCATGTGGTGACGTGGATGGTTGCTCATATTGTTCTGGTTAAGACTGGTTCAGGTGCGGACTTGATCAGTTACAGACCATCTTCACAAAGCTGGAATAATGTGGAGACTGTGTTAAAGAACAACCAACACTGATGTGGATTGTTTGTTTGAACTAACCAGATGTCTTTAACATTTGGATTGTGTATTTTGTCCAATACAGAACCTCCATGTGTATAACCATGTATTGTAAGGTAAATGCTTACCCAAGTTTTTATTGTGGGCTGGCATTGCATTTTCAAGAACTGATGATACTGTTCATTCTGTTTCTCATTTTTGTTTCACATTGAGTAAAGTCTCTACATGTTTTGTACACATTTTCCACTGATTGACATCATCCACTTCGGGATAACCTTATGTAGAGCAGCAGTCTCTAGACTCTCTACCAATGCTAAGGTCATATCCAAAATAGTTGTGGAATTCTTTTGATACAAATGAATAAATATTGTATGAAGAAAGATGTGTTGCGTTTCATGTGCGCAGAATTACTGACAGTCAGCTCACTGTTGTTCTTCACGTCACACAACAGAGTTGTTTCCCTTTGTAGATAGTCTAAACAAGGTATCCATAAATCTTGGGCGGATCCAGGAATTTTGAAAGGGGGGATGGGGTCAAACCACCCCCCCCCCCATTGGCTCCGCCAGCGCAAAAAAAATCTTCAATGTGGTCATTTTCTGGGTGGGGGTGGGGGGAGTCCGAACCCCCTGAACCCCAACTCTGGATCCACCAATGCATAAATGATGTACCCATGGAAAACATTTGAAGAGTTTAAAAGAAAATTTTCTTTGAAAGGGACTGAAAATACTTTGAAGGTATGCTCCTCAGAAATGGATGGATGCACTCTGGGACACAGATGACTGTTAATTTGTGTGTAGACTGTTTGGGGATAAACAGTTTAAATCTGAACTACTTCAGTTCAAGTTGGGAAACTGTAAGAAAACATTGTGACAAGTGAACACTTATGTGAATATTTTGAATTAAAGCAAGAAGCCAATGACTTACATAGATTACACAAATTACAGGATTATTATTATAAATTCTGTTCTACAGAGAGTAGGAACACACAATGACAAATCTGTTCATTTAGCGAAAATGAAAATGAAATACACATTTTTCTCTTACAACCAAGTACAGGAATTAATATTGTAATTTGTGAGGTGAGGTGAAATGCGTTATACCGTCGTACTTGAGAATATTTGCCTCATATGAGGTGAGGTGAAATTGGGTTTAACGTCGTGCTTGAGAATATTTCGCTCATATGACGACGTGCATGTGTGTGTATGTGTATGTGCGGCTGCTTGTACTCGCCCAGACTTCAGTTGGTTTTATAGTGCTAGCCCACTGAGATACCATGCCGCAGTGAAGCATGAATACCCCACTCAGACACATTATACTGACTCTTGTACCCATTAATGCAGAGCGCCAGACAGGGACCATATTTACCATATTTTAACGTGGTCGGGGATCGAACCCGCGACCTTCCGCTCTCCGGGCGGACGCTCTAACCACTACACCACGGAGGCGGTTCCCTCATATGAAGACGTGCATGCGTGTGTATAGTATGATCAGAAATTATTGAGAATTTTAGGAATATGTTTAATTGGATTTCTAGTATAAACAACCTTGATCAGCTATCAAGTGCTTGGTTTCATTTAAGAGAGACAACTCCGTTAATCCTTTTTCATTAGTTTGTGAAGAGTTATCCCCCTTTGTTTACTTGCTAGCGGACGACATTTTCAGTGATCCTCAGTATGGATGATTTAGAGAAGAGGAAGTTGATTTTAGAGTATTATAACAAGGACATCAAATCAGCTAAAGTGATTTCAAGTAGAACAAGCATCCCTTTGTCCACTGTTTATCGTGTTTTGAAAAATATTGCAAATGGACATGGCATTGAGCACCAGGGAGGCGCAGGTAGGCCCAGAAAATTGACTGTCGGTGACAGGAGGCGGCTTGGTATTCTTGTTTCTAAAAACAAACGAAGGAGTTTAGAAAACTTAAGGCTGGATATGATTGATAGAGGAACTGTGGCTGTCTGTAAGGAGACAATTAGAGCTGAGCTGCATGCAATGGGTTGGCAGAAAAGTCGAGGAATTCCATCACCGATCATGAAACCTGAACAAAAGGAGCGAAGGTTGAACTGGTGCTTACAGCATATAAATTTTAACTGGGACAATGTGATTTTCTCAGATGAAAGTTCTGTGTGGCTGTTTCCTAATACACTGTAATTCTGGACCAAACAAACTGAAAAACCTTTGTATCAGCGCCCAAAGAACAGTCCGAAATTTAACGTGTGGGGTGGCATATCTGTGTATTTGACGGGAATATGAACAGTGAGCGGTACACAGATATTCTCGAGGGACGTTTACTTCCATCTGCTCAATTTGTGGATTTTCCAGCAGGACAACGACCCAAAACATCGTTCAAAGCATTCACAGGCCTGGTTTCGGACCCAAAATATGACATTATTAGATTGGCCAAGCTATAGCCCTGACCTAAATCCAATAGAAAATGTTTGGGGACTTATGAAGGAAAGTGTCAATAAGAAAAATCTGACAAATATTGCTTAAATGAAAGAAGAGGTGGTCCGATATTGGGACAGCATGGACCACGACTTTGTAACTTCTTTGATCAGTAGTATGCCCCGCCGCATTGAAGCCTGCATTGCTGCCCATGGTGACTTGACAAAATACTAACTGTCTTTGAATCTGGAGTTATGTTCTGCTAATATTCACATTTAACACGTGAGTAATGAGTGAAAAAATTAAATAAATTACAATCTTTAAATTTCTTAATAATTTCTGGTTGAACTGTATGTGTTGCTGCTTGTACTAGCCCGGACTCAAGCTAGTGGTTCTAGCTCACGGAGATACCATGCTGCACTTATGCATGAATACCCCACTCAGACACATTATACTGACTCCCGAGCCGACCAGTCCTTGTTGTACCCATTAATGCCGAGCGCCAGGGAGAGACCAACACGTACCATATTTTAAAGTCTTTTGGTATGACGTGACCGGGGATCCGGGCGGACGCTGTAACCAGTACACCATGGAGGCGGTACTTGTAATTTGTGAAATGATACAAATGAAGGTATCGATTTTGATTGAATGTTTTATATGTGGCAGCAATGTGCTATAAAATCAGTTCTGTGTTATCACCAAATACATATATAGATGTTAAAGTACAGAAACTGAGTTAAGGTTTGAAGAAGGCGCAAAAGAAAGTTTGATTTTTATCTAATTGAAATTGGAAAGAAGTGTTGTTCTGTGAACTGTTTATCCATCGCACATTCCTGCGACCAGTAAACCGTAATAGATGTAGAATCAATTGTTTCAATGAAGGCGGGGCTAAGAAATGTATTTTCAACTACAAGAAAGATGGCGATTGTAGCAGAAGCCTAAGATCACAATCTTAAGGATTTACATTTTTTGTCAATCTAATATTGCTCTGTGCAAGTGAGCCCAGTAGACTGTTTGAAATCTCCATTTGAGCAGGAGAAAGTAAATATCCATTTTCTAAGATACGATGTCTAACATGCCTATCAGCAGTTTTGTATTGTGCTACTTCTTGTAATTATATATTAAAAAATGTTTTCAAAGTTAAGTTTTCAAATATAACCATGCATATGTATTCTTTAAGCTCACTAAGCGCCAGTGCAGTTCGTTTTGTAATATGCTATTGACAGTCACAGGTGCCGTTTCTTTTGTACCCAATCTATCTGCAGAGTTCACTTCTGTCTGTCCCACGGGGATATATTTTATTGCGATAAACTTGTCAGTGGTGGGATCTAATGTGATCAAACTTCTGTCTGTCACACTGGGATACATTGTATTGCAATTAACTTGTCTGTGTGGGATCTAATGTGATCAAACTTCTGTCTGTCACACTGGGATACATTGTATTGCGATAAACTTGTCAGTGTGGGATCTAATGTGATCAAACTTCTGTCTGCCACACTGTGATACATTGTATTGCGATAAACTTGTCTGTGTGGGATCTAATGTGATCAAACTTCTGTCTGCCACACTGGGATACATTGTATTGCGATAAACTTGTCAGTGTGGGATCTAATGTGATCAAACTTCTGTCTGTCACACTGTGATACATTGTATTGCGATAAACTTGTCAGTGGTGGGATCTAATGTGATCAAACTTCTGTCTACCACACTGTGATACATTGTATTGCGATAAACTTGTCAGTGTGGGATCTAATGTGATCAAACTTCTGCCCCTCATCTTCGTCAGTCCCGTCAGTCCTGTTAACTCTTCTACTATTATTTTATTTCTACGATTGTTTATTTGTCTAAATCTGTTGTATATAGACAATATTTATTATTAAGTGAACAAAGCCCTAGAAATATCGGGCCACGGCTACAATCCATGTAAAAAGTCCTTTTGAAAAATATCGGATTTGTACCTTGCAAACCGTTAGATGTTGCTCACTCACTCACCCACTCACAGCTACGCTCGGACACCCCCTTCCCATTAACTCTCTCTTACATTTCTTTTCATGATTTTTTTCATTGAAAATGCGATATGGCTGAAATACTGCCGTTGTGACTTAAAACAGCAACTTCTTTCGAATTGGACACCCGAAGGATATGATACAAATCAGGAGAAGAATTTTATATTCAGAGTTATCCCCCTTTGACCATAACACCATTTCAGCATTAAGTTCGGGGTTGGTGCAAGAGATGGACTCGTAGATTTCTGTTGAGAGGTTTCTAACAAAGATGGAATGTGGGGTTCAACCTCACTGGATTCTAGGCTGCGGCTAATAAAAATCAGTGTTGTTTGGACAGATATATACAACTGAGATGTTTTGAAATGTAATATCGGGCTTATTAAATACACACTCTATTCCGAAGGTAACAAGAACGAATGTGAACACAAGACCTGAACTAGCACATGTTATCGAGATTTATCTACATTTTGATATCTTGATTAAAGTAAACGTGCTCCACTGCAGTGCGATAAATAGCCATAGCGTGAGGCAAGTCAAATGAACCATTGCATAGTGCGATCCAATAGAATTGTTATGGCAGTAGTACGTCTCCTCACTTAGTACATCCACCACCCTTGATAGTAGTACATCCACCACCCTTGGTAGTAGTACATCCACCACCCTTGGTAGTAGTACACCCATCACCCTTGGTAGTAGTACACCCACCACCCTTGGTAGTAGTACATCTCCACCCTTGGTAGTAGTACATCTCCACCCTTGGTAGTAGTACATCTCCACCCTTGGTAGTAGTACACCCACCACCCTTGGTAGTAGTACATCCACCACCCTTGGTAGTAGTACACCCACCACCCTTGGTAGTAGTACATCTCCACCCTTGTTAGCACCTACCACCCATCACCCTTGGTACACCCACCACTCCCTTGGTAGTAGTACATCCACCACCCTTGGTAGTAGTACATCCATCCACCCTTGGTTGTAGTACATCCACCT